CTCGTGAACGCAGGGTGTCGACATTTGGGCGTGGGGCAACAAGAGTTCTCTGTGGGCCAAGGACTACGCTAAGTCCCACAGCATAGTCCCAAAGCCTTAGAGACCTTGCACTGAAGCGTCTTATGGCATCGTGTGCACCAGAACTTTGAAAATCAACCTCCTGAACTGTAGTAGAGGGTGCTCTTAGAATCCCAGAGCAGCCACACTATGCTAGCAAGAGCATGACCATGAAGCATGTGCCCTGGTGTTGAGGTTCAGGATCTGCGGTCATGAGGGTTGTCGAAATCGGCACCACTAGATGGGTGCAGAAGTTCTTGAGACATCATAGAGGGGTCGGAATAATTGCTCAGAGTATTCCCTTAGGGTCCCTTTATGACTATACTACGATAACCCCCAAAACTGTATACTAATTCTTCAGCCCCTAAACCCTAAACCCTAAACCCTTAGTCCCCTATACGTGAACCCGGAGCTTGCAGCCGCTGCGCCGCTCGTGGTGTGTCTTAGAGTGTTTCTCGGGGCGGGGCTGTTTTTCGTGTAAGGGCTCAGGGTTGAGGGGAGTGCTCCCAAACACGAAACCCTAAACCCTAAACCCTAAACCTGGCAGTTCACGCAGCTCGGCGTTGTATGCCCGGCGAAAACCTTGATGGAGGTTTTACCGGCGGTAAAGGATGCCTCTCACCCTAAGGATCCATGTACCTAGGAAGTATATACTCGGGCCTTAAAGGAGTTTAGGGTTTAGGGTTTAGGGTTTAGGGTTTAGGGTTTAGGGTTTAGGGGTTCCTATATAGTACCTTTAGGGCCCAAGTCTAGACCGCATAGGTACATGGATCCTTGGGGTCAGAGCGCAAGTGTCGAAGACTTGAGCCGAATGAGTCCCGCACCCTCACTTGCAAAACCGGAGTGTAAAGAGCCCTAAACCCTAAACCCTAAACCCAAAGCCCTAAGCCCTAAGCCCTAAGCCCCTAAACCCGAAACCCCCTAAACCCCCTGAGCCCTAAACCCTAAACCACGCATCGAAGCATTATGCCGTACTTCTAGGTGCTCACGGGTCCTCGTGCGCGACACTTGCAGTTATCAAGCTCTCGGCTGAAAGTCAGCTCGGATAACAGCTGCGCATTGTGTCCTGGCACAGAAAGTTTGCGTTTCAGGGCGTTAGAGGGGTTTGAAGGGGTTAGATGTGAAGGGGGAGAAGGGGTTGCTTGGGAGGCTGTTCCCAACGAATTCCTTGACACACGTTTTAGAAGGCTTTGGGGTTCCTGAGGATTTGCAGAAGAAGCCAAACTGGCATTCCGAAGCAAATTGCTTGTTCATCAGCCCTACATATCCTCTGGGATCAACATGTAGACGGATGCCCTGCCGAACATGCTGCATGCTGTTGCGAGCGGACATGTTGAGCACGCCAGTTCTCATCATCAGCCAGGGCTATAGGTATATGTTGCGAAAGGACGCATTGCTTGCATACGTTTAAAGGCCGAGAAGCAGATGATGGACCTGCTGGGATGAACACGCGACCTTCGGATTGTGGGGCTTTGAGGCTGGGTTTTCAGGATGAGGTCAATGACAAATGTGAGCGATGTGTGCGCGTGAGATCATCCTGGCAATGATTCGCCAGATGGGACCCCTGGCTTTGGGATCCATTCGGCATCTTGCGCTGGCAGCATTTCTTATCCAAGGATCCTCTGGCTGCTTGCTTTGGAAGAAGTTGCAAAAACGGGCTACCGACTCCTACCGACTCCCCTTGCATGCTTTTTTTGACTTGGTTGTGTACAGCTTTACGGCGATCTTCGGGGTGGTGCTGCCAGTTGCAAGAAGAAGACCAGAGCCACGCAAAGGCCCTCCAAAGCACGATGTGTCACACAGATCTTAATTATCAAAGCAGTCTGATGCAAGCCCTTGTTTGGCTTGCTTTTCCGGGTGCGTGACTTGAGATGGGACCTGATTTCAGGAATCCTGAAACAGGGGCCCACTAATTCACAGAGCTCGTCGTTAATGCTGGACAACAGCGGAGCCAACCACAAGCAGGAAGGTGTGCGCAGATGCCACCCCCAACCATCCAGGCAGTGGGGTTTGCGGACCACGTATGGTTTGTTTTGCAGACTGGGTTTGTAGGCGGAGAGACCCTCAACCCCAAAAAGAACAGACATATATATATATATATATACATATACATCAAACAAATATTAATAATTATATTATGAATGATAATAATAAAACACAATAATATATATATATATATATATATATATATATAATATATATATATCATGTTGTTCATATTGGCGTTTGCGTTTAGGAGAGTTGTTGGGAACAATTCTGTATGTGTGCGTGTGTCGTCGTCAGCCTCCAAGCAGCCCCCCCCCCCCCCTTCGGGAAAGAACTTCAACCCATCTCCATTGGGCTGCAGGTCGCCTCAGGCTTATGAAGGCTTACACTGCGCATCACGGAATGGAGTTTTCAGGGCTGGCGTCGTCTTTCTCGGAACTCATGCTTATCCTCGGGCTACAAAGAAGTCACCGGCCACTCGCTTTCTCCCTAAACGCAGGGATGCTGCGAAATCACTCGTACCGCCCGAGACTCTTACGCGGACGGCCGCGTGCGGGTTCTCCGGATCTCGAGTCAGATTAGTCAGATTCGACGGGCTTAGTTTCCCCAGAGCTCGTATCCTGAAGTACAACTATCGTATCCCCCTCATCCACCCAGACCTCTCCCCTAGGGCTTTCAGAATGACTGCTGAATCTGTAACTTGTAGCACGTCTCACGCTCGACGCCGGGCACCTGCTTTGAGTGCGTCGCGCTTAAACCTTTTTGGTAATATAGAATCCGAAATATGTAAAAGGTTAATCCTTTTTTGGGCAGGGTCTGCAGCCCCTAAGTGAACGTTGTAACTCCGGTCTACGCCCACTGCTGTACCCAAGCCTCTCTCACCGTGGAGGCCGTCGCCGGCGTGTAGACTTGGGCCCCTAAACCCTAAACCCTTAACCCTACGTATATATATATATATATATAGACCCTAAACCCGAGAGTTTTGGGGTTTAGGGGTACGTAGCCCCTAAACCCTAAGCCCTCAACCCTATAGACCCCAAACTGGGGTAGTTAGCAAAGGGCTGTCAGTGTAGTAGCAACTAACGTATTTGCAGCTCCTTCTGACACGGAAGGGGTTGGAGGGGGCCCAAAACCCTCACCTAAAGTCCGGAGCTCAGAACCTGCATCTTTCCTAGGGTCGGTTTAGGGTTTCGGGGTTTAGGGTTTAGGGTTCCTATACACCCCTGGAAAGAATAACCTTTCGGCATAGGCTCTTGCACCCTAAACCAATATATGAAACCCTGTCGACCCCTAAATCAAAACCCTGTCAAAAACTCAAGAAAGTCCTGTAAGCCCCCATAAAACCTGCCTCCTTAGTTTAACACAAGAAGTCAAAACCCGCGCCACGCCGTGGACATTGCCTTTACGAGTGCTTGCGGGCCTCGTGGCGGGTGCTTCAACGAACTTGAGATCACAGGGTGTGTCCTGTGACTCCAAAAACCCTAAACCCATATAAGTAGAACCCCCCCCCCCCCCCCAAAGAAAAAAAAAGTAGGTTAAGCCGAGCCCCAGGTTCGGTTTTTGCGTGTGTAGGAGTGGAGGCAAAGGCTCGGAAAACCCCTCAGGGCTTTGTGGGCTTTGGTGATGAGTCGAAGTGGATTTAGGGTTTAGGGTTTAGGAGGGTTTAGGGTTTAGGGTTTAGGGTTTAGGGTTTAGGGTTTAGGGAGGTGGGTTCAGTTGTATATTACGGGCCGTTCTGCAATGATGGGTGCATGTGCAAAGTGGGATGGGTCCAAGTTTGGGGTTTCAATGACAAGGGCAGGGAGCCCCAGAATAGACCCCCAAGTGGTAGGATTCCCTTATTTAGGACCCCAATAAGGTACCTCTACTGGTAGGATTCCCTTATCTAGGACCCCAATAAGGTACCTCTCGTATCGTAAAGCCCCATGTGAAGGTGGAAGGATCAGGGATGGCGCCGGGGTATTCCGGATGCCTGCTGCGCAACTCTTTCTGATAAGCACCTAAACCCTAAACCCTAAACGAATGCATCCGGCGACATCCCAAAGGTAACATTCATGCGATGACCCTCAGCGCCGCAGCCGGCAGCACTAAGCACTAGTCTACAAGCCCAAAACGAAAGACCGACCGGTCGATGAAGCACCTATGCAATATCAAGGTGGTCCTGCGATGAGCATGCCAAGTGCCTGCACAACCTGTGTAGCTTGCAGCCCGCACCCAACGAGACCACAGCCCATGCCGAGAAAAGGGTTTTTAGATAGTTTAGGCCCCAAGAAGACCAAGACATTGTATAGTCCGTCATGTCGCTGTGGCTCGTCGTTATCCCAGATCCTGCTCGGCACCCGCAGCAATAAAGTTCAATAAAGCGTGCGCTCAATTCCTGGGTCGCCAATCCAAAGTTTATCGGGTACGCCAAAGCAAAGGCGTAAGTACCGACACGAAGACCTTCTTAGACATTCCCTGGGGCTCTATTTACCTACAGTTTAATTAGTAGTAACTACAAATACTTACTAGGTATAACCCATAAAAGTGTAGGTAAAGAGGGTCCAGTACTTAACTCTTAATTAGTAGGTACAAGCCATAAAAGCTGTAGGTAATTGGCGTTACAGGTATAAGTCGGGAGGGTGCAACATCTGCAGGACAGTTTTCAGAGAGTTTTCCCTCGCGGTACCGGCCTGTGGGGGTCGTTTTGTTGGTGAACCTTGCGGGAACTTAGGAGGTTACGTATAACATAAACTTATCACCTGCTTGGAGGACTTAGGGGCTTGCAAGTGCAGCAACCTTGCGGGTGCTTGGAGGTTACGTAGAACCCCAATTACACTTCTACTTATAACCTGCTTAGAGGACTGCGGGGCTGACAAAACCCCTGGCGGAAGCCCGTAGGTGCAACCAGACTATAGGCCCTAGACGGTAAACCCCCTAAACCCTAAACCCTAAACCCTAAACCCCTCGTGACGAAGGTGAAGCAGATCCTCCAAGCTGCCGCTGCCGCCCAGCAGCGAGACATTTTGTTCCTAGAGGCCCGGTTTTTATGAGAGTTTAGGGTTCACCCTAAACCCTAAACACTAAACCCTAAACCCTAAGCCCTAAACCCTAAACCCTAAACGGCCCTAAACCCTAAGGCTATCAAGCCCAGCGACCTTTGCTCGGGCAGGGTTCTCGCTGAAGGGCTTCCAGCTGTTGACCCATCAACATTGGCAACTTTTTTGGCGCTGGAGCTTCAAGACAGTGGCTTCACAGCAAGGGCTGATTATATGTTTGGGGTTTAGGGTTTAGGGTTTAGGGTTTAGAGTTTAGGGTTTAGGGTTTAGGGTTTAGGGTAGAGTAGGTAACCTTTAACCTTTTTGGGTTAATATAATCCCCTTTATAACCCGAAAGGTTAACCTTTAAAACCCCTAGGTACTGGACAACTAAGATGTTTCTCTTTCTGAGTTTGGGGAGAAGGCTGGTGGGTGGCTGCCCCAGTTCTGAACAACACTGCCCATCCTCGGCGCACACACATCTCGCTCTGTAAGCTTCAACAGCACCTCCACGCCAGTCCTTCCTCACGATGGTTCAGACTAGCCCCATCTTTGGCAGGTGCGTAACAACTTGCTCAAGGAGGAGCGTGTTCAGGTCGCGAAGATTGTGGGGGCGGTGGGGGGGGAGGGGGGGGGGGTTGGCATGACATGGGAGCAACTCCGGATTGTCTGCTGCGCTCTAGCTACCGGTGCATGAGAGCTAGCAGCTCTATAGCTGCAAACCTAGACGAACAGGACCCAAGACAGTCAGAGCCTGTCCGCGGCGAGGCAGTCACTCGATTTCGGCTTCCCCACTTCAAGCGGGTAGCCAAGGTCCTTGTCCGGATGCCCAGACTCCATGGCAACAAACAGGGGGCAGAGGCAAGCTGGGACCTAGCCCGCCGAGCAGACTATGCACACCCACACACGCCCACGCGCGCACGCAGGCGCAGGCGCACGCGCAGACGGACAGATGAGAGAATCAAGTCATGCTAGCCTGATGGCCGAGTTGGGACAGCCGAGTGCTGACTACCTGGAGCACGTGTACGAGCAGCTGCGAAAAGAGAAGCAGGACTCTTGCGATGTCACCATACCATGGCACCCCCTTATGAGCAGTTCCCTTTGATACAAAGAACGCATAAATGTACACACACACATATACACTCAGACATACGCATGTATGCATACGTATTTATACAGATGGAGGCCCCAAGGCCCTATTCGACACGAGTAAATCGTGGAAATTTTCCTGTTGGAATTTGAGGTTTGCAGGAGATTTCGCAGGGTAGCTTCTCGCGAGAATGTTCGGTGAGGAGTGTCGCTATTTGAGTGTGTTTAGAGTTTAGGTTTAGGACTTAGTGTCATTTGGGGCCATTCCTAGCCAAAACCGCTGCCTTCAGCACCCGCACCTTCTGCATCTTACCCCTAGCCTGCGTCGATCTAAGGTTCTGGCTTGGAAGCCTCGTATTCCGGTTTAGGGTTTAGGGTTTAGGGTTTAGGGTTTAGGGTTTAGGGTTTAGGGTTTAGGGTTTGCCTTGTGTCCTTTCCAGATAGTCTCTCCAGAGATGTCGGCCTCATTATATGCCCTTTAAGCAGTGCCTGTGGGACCAGGTTGCCGCTTCCCGAGGCCTGCTGTAAAAAAAGCTTTGCCTTGCATAAAGCTTTGCACCCTAAACCCTAAACCCTAAACCCTAAACCCTAAACCCTAAACCCTAAACCCTAAACCCTAAACCCTAAACCCTAAACCCTAAACCCTAAACCCTAAACCCTAAACCCTAAACCCTAAACCCTAAACCCTAAACCCTACCACCCTGGCTTAAACAAAGCATTATAGGAGAAGGCAGATGCGGACTTCGAGTTGCAACGCCAGCAGGCCACCCAACAGAAGCTGTCCCGAGCTCAGACTCGCAAGGGGCTTTCAGGGTTCGGCTTGTGTGGAGACCCTACACCCAAAGCCCCAAACCCTTAACCCAATGAGGTTTTAGGGTTCATTTTGAGTCAGGGACAGACATCATTGCAGCGGTTGCTACATTCTCTCTAATCCCTAAACCATAAACCGTGTCAGCTAGGCGGGTGGCGAAACCTAAATGGCTCCGTTTCAGTTGAGATTGTTTGGGGGCGAGCTTCTCTTAAGGCCGGAGAGTTGGGACGTTGAAGCTGGCAAGGGCGTTTCGGAGTTTTATGCGTACGCTCCACTTGCGCATTCAGGCCCTGAGGCAAAAAACCCTTTAACCCCTACATCCCAAACCCTTAACCCTTATGTATATATATATATATATGTTTGTGTGTGTATATATGTATGAATCATATGGTTCAGCGTCGAGCGTCCTGGGCCCCCCCCCCCCCCCCCCCCCTGGTATCCCCCCCCCCCCCAAGCCTACTCTACGGTCCCTAAACCCTAAACCCTAAACCCTAAACCCTAAACCCTAAACCCTAAACCCTAAACCCTAAACCCCTAATTTGTAAACCCTAAACCCCAAACCGTAAAACCTAAACCCTAACCCTAAACCCTAAACCTTAAGTCTTAAACCTTAAACCCTAAACCCTAAAACCCTGAACCCTAAACCCTAACCCTAAAACCAACCCCCAACCACACCACAGGGGGGGGGGGGGGATCATCTTAGTACCCCATCCGCGGGGAAAACCCTAAACCCTAAACCCTAAACCCTAAACCCTAAACCCTAAAACCCTAAACCTAAACCCTAAACCCTAAACCCTAAACCCTAAAACCCTAAAACCCTAAAACCCTAAACCCTAAACCCTAAACCCTAAACCCTAAAACCCTAAAACCAACCCCCAACCACACCACAGGGGGGGGGGGGGGTACCATTGGGGGGGGGGGGGGGGGGGGGGGGGGGGGGGGGGGGGGGGGGGGGGGGGGGGGGGGGGGGGGGGGGGGGGGGCTGAATCATATATATATATACACTTATATATACATAGATATATATGTGTACATTTTAATTTCTTTATATATAAACCCTTAGCCCCTTGAACCCTAAACCCTACAGCTCCTTGACTCCCTCGTAGCGCTTCTGCCCTGCAAGGGTGCGAAGGCCCAGAATCACAAACCCAAAGGTTTGGGATGTTCCCCCTTTATACGACAGAGCTTAGGGCTTAGGGCTTAGGGTTTAGGGTTTAGGGTTTAGGGTTTAGGGTTTAGGGTTTAGGACCCTGAAGCAGAAAGAAGGGTTCTACGTCTTGAATAGGGATTCTAGCACCCCGCATTAGAATGTTAAGGACTGTTAGGGTAAGTGGTAACATCCCTGTGCCGAGGTTGGAGATGCAAGAGAAGCAGGCCATCTCCCCCAACAAATCACGAAAACTCACGTCTTTTTTTGTTGGGGACCCAACGAAGCCCCAAAAGGGTTAGGGTTAAGGGTTCAGGGTTTAGGGTTCGATGTCTGTAGATATACATATGTGAGTGTTTATACATCTATAGACTTTGTTTATTGTCTTGTATGTGAGGTTGGCAGCTTTGATTTACAGGGGTTGTGGGACATTGAGTTATTCAGGGTTCATCCGAGAGCCTGAATCACAGCTGCCTTCCCTTGAACCTATCCCCCGCAATGTCTTTCTCCCCCTAAGAAGCTTCTCAAACTACCATAAAAGCTCCTATAAGTAGTACCAGTTTGGGGAAGTATACTAGAATCCCCTATAAGGAACCCAGAAAGGAACTACATTGGAGCCTTCAGGTAGATCCGAATTCAGCTGTGAGAGAGAGATGTGAGAGAGAGAGAGAGAGAGAGAGATTCACCATGGGCGGCGGGCCAGAGTGGCTCGGGGGGCCTCTTCGCTGGGTAGAGTAAGAACATTCACCATGGAATCCAAACGCAGCGTGGCAGGCGGAGTGGGCACAGCAGCGAGAAGCTATGCAGCAGGACCGGGCATCTCATGCCAAACTGGCATCATCCAGAGCCTAGTGCACAAATTTCGTGTCTTAGGGTTGAGGGCTCGAAAGAAGTCCGAGCCTACAAAGGGTTTAATCAGGGCTCTCAAAACGAAACCTCAAAGCAACTCCTATGGTACCTCCTCAACCCAGCCAGCCGCAGAAGTCTGGGCAGGAGGCTGCTGCCCAGGCCAAGGGTTTTGGGTGTAGGGTTATAGGGTTATAGGGTTATAGGGTTTAGGGTTTAGGGTTTAGGGTTTAGGGTTTACGATTTGGGTGGGTTCTAGCCACGGTTTCAGGGCTTCTGCGCTCTATGGGGCTTAGGGTTTGGGGTCTACCCAGAGCCCTGAAGCAAGAAGGGCACCATGGATGCCAACAAAAAACACGGTTTGCAGGGTTCAGGTCATGGCAACTACAGCGGCGCAAGCGTGTTTTACAGACACCCGCATCCTTAGCAGCCTTAGCATGGTAGAACTGGATCTTCGGCCATGCGCTACTGTCAACGTGGAATGATCAAAGACAAGCTACTTGTGAGCATGTCAGTTCACCAAAAACGTTCTTGAGGACTTACTACGTACCAACTGTAGTTCAGGAACGGACAGTCTGCATCACATATGTAATATACATGTATGATGCGTAATATGCAATACATGCAACATCAAAAAACATGTATATGCGTATTATTGGCACATATGCATGTATATACATATTTTAACATGCACATATGTATGTACTTGTTGATTCATACACATTAACCATTGTGAAGCGTGGCATCCTATCAGTCTTCCTGTAGCACACCGTGCACGAACCTGCACCGAAGAAGGCCATGCTGTCTCGGATCGTTCCTGGTCCTCAGCACGGGCGCTGTAGATTTGGGTTTAGGGTCTAGGGTCTAGGGTTTAGGGTTTAGTGTTTATAGAGTTTCGGGTTTAAGGTCTAGGGTTCAGGGTTGAGCTTCTGTTTTTGGGGAGGTAGTGGCTTAGGCGAACCTTTTCATGGTCTTGGGTTCGGATTGAAAGGTTTTAATCCATGAGGGCTCGTGCTGCAGATCTGCGCGCAGGCTGCTGAAGGAGAGGCTGCACTGAGCCCAGACATTCGAGCTGCGTTTTAGGGCCCCGGAGGGCTCAGAGGGTGCAGATATGGAATTAGGTTGTATGCGACAAAGGTTTCGTCGTCGTCGTCGCAATCCCCCAAACCCCCTTAAACGCCCGCCAAGCCCGAACATGCGGAAACCCCAAAAGCACAAGCAAAGCACAGAGACCTCCTCAGAGTCCTGACCCTTCCCCACAGGGCCCATGTTTCCTGTCGTGGATACTCAGGGGTTCGAGAACGGGATAGGGTTTAGGGTTTAGTAGCCCAAAGCTTTTCTGGACCTTGGACCCTTTGGGTTTTAGCCATGATCTCACAAAGGTTCCAGACGCAGCCCCCAAGGAAGAGGCCGGGAATGAGATTCTTGCTGGTGGGCAGTTCATGCAGTTCCTGTGGTGTCTGAAGTATTTCCATGCATCTCGTGGAACATGAACCGGGGCCATTCTGAAATTGTTCTTCCTGGCTCATGTCAATCTGTTCTGCCTGCGTGTGTTGCACGGTAAGGCCGACAGCCCTGCATAGACTGATTTGCATTTGCTCGGTCCACTTTACTTGCAAAATGCGTCAGAACATTCGAGCTGGATGTTGAACCCTGCAGGTAATTGTAGTTTGCATGAGGTTGACTCTTCGGCTGGGCGTCCCACTAGTGTAGCATGCCTGATTCTGGAGGCCCCCAAAGACACGGAGGCGCAGATGGAGGCTGACACAGATTCTGCAGCATACCAGGATGGGCTATTCGGATTATTATCCCCATAGGGTAGAATAGCTCGTCCTGGTAGGTCTACGGTAGATGGACACACTCAGGTCCTCAAACCCCAGACCTGCAGAAAAGGACATGCACGCTTACCATGTATGGATGTCTGTGTGGGTTCGGGACTCTTTCTGATTCGGAAGCCAGAAGCTGTGTGCTTAGCTGAATACGAAGCTTCCACGCAAGGCCGGAAGCTTGAAATAGGTTCGCCTAAGCCGTCATCGGGCAAGCAGAAGGGCAATAAACCCTAAACCCTAAACCGAGATTCGATTGTAGCAGCTTCTTGATGTACCTGCGACCCCCAAAACCCACAATTTAGTCCACCCCTCAACCCTCAACCCTCAACCCTACACCCTAAACCCCGAACCCTAAACCCCAAACCCCAAACCCTAAACCCTAAACCCCCAAAACTAGTAGGTAAATGGAGAGCCCCCAGGTAGACCCCCAGACCCCAGGTGGATGGCGAGCCCGAGCCGCCTCGAGTGGAGCTAACGGAGGAGGCTCCCGGAAACGAAGGGACGAAGGGGTTTAAGGTTTAGGGTTTAGGGCCGTTTAGGGTTTAGGGTTTAAGGTTTAGGGTTTAGGGTTTAGGGTCCGCAGGGTTCGCAGGGTTCGCAGGCTCAGATCTGGCTCTTAAGATCCTCAAGCCCAGATTGCACAACAGGCTTTGCAGCCAATGCTGGAACCTTTATCCCTAAACCCTAAACCCTAAACCCTAAACCCTAAACCCTAAACCCTAAACCCTAAACCCTAAACCCTAAACCCTAAACCCTAAACCCTAAACCCTCCATCTTGATTTCTCTTGCACGATGTTGCACTCCCCAAGAGGCACGCGTTGTCAACATTTTCTCGCGTGCTTTTCAGCCACGGCGCCTGGGTTTGGCCCTAGACTCCAATCCCTAAACTTGCTCTAAACCCTAAACCCTAAACCCTAAACCCTAAACCCTCCTGGCTGTCCTTGAGACATGTCAGAGCTGCATCTGCCTGCCGTGGACTTACACATGGGAGAGAGACACACATTTTTGGGGGGGCTTGTCGACGCTAGGGCCGTTAGGGCTCCCCGAACTTCAAGTGTATTTTCTTTGTATGTATATATATATATATATATGTCTATGTGTGTGTAAAGGGTTTAGGGTTTAGGGTTTAGGGTTTAGGGTTTAGGGTTTAGGGTTTAGGGTTTAGGGTTTAGGGTTTAGGGTTTAGGGTTTAGGGTTTAGGGTTTAGGGTTTAATACATATATATATATATATAAATATAAATATAAACATAAATAAATACATAAATAAATATAGACATATGTAAGATTAAAATTTCTGTCTTTATATACATACAAATCTTGCGCTCTCAGTCCAGCAGTTGCCGCAGGAGAAGAAGCAGTGGTACAAGCGGCCGGGCTCCCAAATCCTGAACCCTAAAACGTCAGCTCGAAGATCCTTAAAACGTTTAGGGTTTAGGGTTTAGGGTTTAGGGTTTAGGGTTTGGGGACACAGCGGCTCAAAGGTCCGACGCGCTCCCGGACCTGGCACCGCAGGCTCTCAGCCGCGATCTCAGGTTCATGTGGTCAGTTTTCTTTTTATGGTTAGGGTTTAGGGTTTGGGGTTTAGGGCTTAGGGTTAGTATTTGGGGTTTAGGGTTTAGGGTTTAGGCTTCAGGGTTAGGGTACCTTTGGTGCCTTTCAGGGGTTGTTGTGTTATTGTGATTATGGTGCCTTTTGGGGGTTATTGTGGTGCCTTTTGCGGCGTTATTGTGGCGCCTTTTGTGCTGTTGTTATGGCGCCTTTGGGGGGTTATTGTGGTGCCTTTTGGGGGTTCTTGGTGTGTGTTTTGGAGGGTTGTTATGGTGCCTTTTTGGGGGGGTACTAAACCCCTAAACCCTAAACCCTAAACCCTGCGGGTCTTGGTTGGCACTGCCGCGCGCCTGAGAAACAGGCGCTTGCTTTGTCAACTTCAGCCTTCCCGATGAGAAAGAAGGCTTCGACGAGGCCCCCAGCTCCATCTGAATCAACCTTGGGGGGCTGAGGCTACGAGGGTTTTGGGGTTTAGGGTTTATAGAAATTGTATAGGGTTTGGGTCCCAATAACGCTTTTGCCGAGACGTTTTGACCGAGTTGTTTTTTGGAACTATGTTTTTCTTTTTTTTTGTGTTTCTTTTTTTTTTTTTTTTTTTTTTTTTTTTTTTTTTGGGGGGGGGGTGTGTGGAGGGTTTACGTAATTGAGAAATTTTGGATTAATTTACTTAAACTTAGCTTGTCAGCTGTTTCGACAAATAACTTGGGAAATTCTGAATGATACCACATACAATTTCTATTTTGTCTTGAGGGTTTAGGGTTTGGGGTTTAGGGCAGTCGCCAAATCCGGTTCCGTAAATGGTTTTCGGTTGGGCTACCTTGCTGGAACTGTGCTTTAACAATGTGGTGACCTCGTCGCGGTCCAAGCCCACAGCCCTCCAAATCCAGAACTTCCGGGGCCTAGGTGGTTTAGGGTTTAGGGTTTAGGGTCTTGGCAACGACGCAGCTTTTTAGGCTTTAGGGTGTCTATTGAGGACCCAATACACCCCCCAAAGATAGGACCATGTACTATATACATCCATATGCTACTATACTCCGTATATGGCTGTATGAACCATACCTGGACCCCCAAAGTATGTAGAAAAAAACCCAACAACCCATAGAGGGCCACATGCTTTGGGGGTTTTAGCTAACCGTAACAAACGGGTTCATTTGGTCTAGGCATGGTGTCGCGTGTGGTTTTCTCGGGTCTGTGGGTTCAGGCTGTACAGAGGCCCGTCGTTGCAGGTCTACACGGCTGCTCGTTTAGGCCTTTTGGGGTTTTGAGGCAATCTAGCCCTGCAGGCGGGGGAGAACATGGGAGGGTTTAGGGTTGCACCTGGGGCAGGGTTCGCCATGTTTCCGAGTGTTCCACCCTGTTTGCAGGTGCTCTACCCCTGGCAGAGCCCGGTTGCATCGGAAGACTACTTGCGACAGTGGCAGCCCCACAGCCCTAACCCGAACCCCCCCACCTGTAAAACCTCAAACCAAAAGCTTGACGTCCTGAGCTGCATGAAGCAAGTCGCCACAAGCCGTCAAGCATTGACTCAAGACTGCGTGACTACATGGCCTGGCAAACGCTCGGATTCGGTATGCCAGTAGTCAGCTTCACCCCCTGCATGGTTACTTTCGTCAGGTATTTGGGTCGGACCTGCTGTGACGGTACCCATGCTGAGTTGTAAGCCCCGCGAAGCCCTAAACCTTTCTAAGTCCTTTTGCAACCCAAAGCCCCAAACCCAGATATGGGGGTTTCCGAAAAAAAAAGGGGCACCCCGTGTCTTACCCAAAATGCTGTAATCTTCATTGCAGGAACCCCCCAATCAGGGCACCCTAATGCTGGGAACTCCCCTTATTGCTGCGCATGCACACCAAGGTGGATCCAAGAGAACAAGCTGACGACGCGGGGAACCCCAGCAGAGTGCTGCATACAGTTCTTAAAGGCTTTAGGCTTTAGGGTTTAGGGAAATTCGAGCGCCCAAGTCCGGATGCAAAGGAAGTGAAATTCGATCCCACATCCTGCACACGCTGAGACGACTCCGAAAACGCTGAAGACTTGAACTCTGAACTGATACCCGAAGCGCGCTGGAGAGAGCCCTCTTTACCCAAAGGCTCCTAAGTAGTACCTTCTTCGTTTAGTATACTAGAATCCCCTATAACGAATCCAAAAAGGAACTACATTGGAGCCCCTAAACCCTAAACCCTAAACCCTTTTTCACGCCTGCTGATCTGAGTAGGTGTTTTGGCTGCCTCACGCAGTGGGACCTTTGGGATGCAGCGGCAGAGAGAGAGAGAGAAACCCTAAACCCTAAACCCTAAACCCGAGAGCCTTCAGGTAAGGTCCTTCCCCATTCTCTAAAGAGGCGAATCGAGGACCTCCAGCCCAGTGAGTGGTTCAAAGAGAAGTGGCGGCCCAAGACTCTCGCTTGGCAGGTGGGTTTAGGGTTTAGGGTTTAGGGTTGGGGTTTAGGGTTTAGGGTTTAGGGTTTAGTTTAGGGTTTAGGGTTTAGGGTTTAGGGTTTAGGGTTGACTCAATAGCTGACACACATCGCTCACAACTTGTCCAGCAAGGGCAGAACCTGTCCATGAAACGAAGAGCATGCAGCCCGGGGAGTTAGTTGGCATCGAGGGCGGTCGATGGCTAACCCTAAACCCTAATCCCTAAGGCCTAAACCCTAAACCCTAAAGGCTTGTTGCATGGGTTTCTGGTACAAAAGAGAGAACATCGGCGCGAGAGAGAGTTGGGGGCTTTCTCGTCTCATGTGCTTTTCCATGACTCCCTTACCAGTTCATGGGGAGTGCTCCTCGGAACCCCCCATGGTCCCTTGGAAACCTCTGTGATAGTCTGATATTTAGTTTTCGTGCCCATCCTCAATGGCAGGAGGTTGGCTTGCTTGTCTGACTTCTACTTCCACGCCTTCCCGTCTTGCCCTTCGATGATGAGTCTTCAGAACCAACAGCTTTGAAGATAAACTCTAAGGAATCTGCAAACGTACGAGTTCTTGAGCACCTGTTCACCCAACATACACGTTACACCAAGCCGGTGACCAAACCAAACCCTATGCCCTAAACCCTAAACGCTCTATAAACCCTCTACCCAAGTCCTATTACCCTGTAGAAACATCAGAAAGACCTGCCAACAACCCTTCTCGTGCCCTAAACCCTAAACCCTAAACCCTAAACCCTAAACCCTAAACCCTAAACCCTAAACCCTAAACCCTAAACCCTAAACCCTAAACCCTAAACCCTAAACCCTAAACCCTAAGCAGCTCAGGTGGCAGAAGTGGCAAAAGGATCTTCAGGGCTGGCATGCCCAGCCCCCAGAAATTCTTCCGGAAGGTAGCTTGGGATGTTCCCCTGAGACTAGCAGTCCTTAAGAGGGATGAGAGTAGGGTTTAGGGTTTAGGGTTTAGGGTTTAGGGTTTATAGTAGGGGCTGCGATGATCCCTATGAAGGACGCTTAGTATAAGGGGGAACATCCCAAGAGGTAGCATTTCATCATATGCAGGGCTATAGGGTTTCTTTGCCTATTCGGTTTTGAGGAAAGGTCCTGGGGCAAATAAGAAAGGGAAAGGAAGTGACAGGTTTTCACGCCAACGGCTAGGGGCCCAATGGGGCCTCAGCTTAAACGTGCATGCGACCCCAGGCGCCAGATCCGGCACCCGAAAAATCCTCCAACTTGCGATGCATGAGACCCTGCCGTTTGGATAAATGAGCCTAAGATGTAATATGGGGGTCTTGATACTTAGACTAGGGTTTTGGGGGGGGTGATTACACTATAGCTATACAGGCACCATAAGGGAATATACTAGTACTTATTCCGGCCCCTAGATTGCAGACCCCAAAGAACCCTGAAACAGCGTGTGCGCCGGGAGGCGAAGCACGTGGAGTTCAAGGAGCCGGTGGTTTTTTCTGGGCGTTGAAGCAGCAGGGACCTTTACTTGAACTTGAACTTGGAGGTTCCTGTGGGGTTTAGGGTTTAGGGTTTAGGGTTTAGGGGTTCGGAGTTCACCTCCTTCGTCCCTTTCGTCTTTGAGATCTTTCAGCACTGGGGCCGTTCTTGAGTGCAGAGGCGCAGGGGGCATGAGGGATGAGGGCTCGACGCAGCTGGGCTTGTTTGGCTCAGGAGCCTTGTTTATCTGATCCAAAAGTGAATCATGCCGAAACCCTATTTGCAAGCCGGAAGCCCACACAGCAGCATCAGGCGGCGGTGGACGCCTTAGGGTTCAAGCGCCGTGAGTTTTTTTATAATTTTGCATCCTGCCCGTGTGGTCATGGCCACGCGTGCCTTCGTGCAGCAGGCTGCGTGGCCTAAGGGTGAGTGTATATTTTGAGCAACAAAACCCCGAAACCCTAAACCCTAAACCCTAACAAACTCTAATTCCTAACCCCCCCTTACCTCAGATTGACCGTTTTTTGACTCTTGCAAAGATCTGTTGCGTTCCCACCTCGGGCGGGTTCCGCAGCACCCTAAGCCAAGCACGGAACCGGAACCTTGGCCCCATCATATGTATATATATATATATATATATAATGTATATTTGTGTGTAACATTGATTCATAGGTTGATGTGTGTGTGTATCTATATAAGGACAAATATAAATAGATATATGTATATGTATATATATATATATATGTATATACATATTTATATTTATTTATTTGTATGTGTATGTATATATATATATATATATAGAACATGCATTCATGCATTCACACACACATAAATAAACAAGCAAGTAAATGAATAAATGAACATATATATATATATATGTAAATGTATATGTAAGAATCATGTGGAAAAGTATGTATGAAACGAAACTGCGACGATCTGCAGTAACAGCCTCAAAATCTCAACTCCGCCGCGACCGCGTTTCCACAAAGTTGCTTTCGTTGTTTTTCTTGCACGTGAGATACGGTGTTGGAGTAGAGGAATAGGCTTGCATTGGAAGGCGGCCACCGTGATGCAAACACCGAAAGTTGCGGAGGATGGCGGATAAGAAAACAAAACAGCCTCCGAAACCCCTGAACCCTGAAGTGCACCAACCCTGGGTTTCAGAGTTTTAGGGTTTCACGATTTTAGGGGTTTGTAGGTTTCAGGGCTATTTAGGGCTTTTAGAAAAGGGCGAAGTGGCAGGCCTGTTGCAAAAGGCAGAAAGGGCCTTAGGCAGCGCTCATTTGGATCCCTAAAGTTTAGGGTTTAGGGTTTAGGGTTTAGGGTTTAGGGTTTAGGGTTTAGGGTTTAGGGATGCCCCTAAGAGAGCCTCCAGGCCCCAGTAGGTTCTAGCCCGTCCTTTGACAGTCGAAGCCCTTCGTCTCACTGTTTTGGGAGTCGGCATCTTCATGTAAGATAAGCAAATGGATGCATTTCCCCAAACCCAAAACTCCTAAACCCTGAACCCTAAACCCTAAACACTAAACCCTAAACCCTAAACCCTAAACCCTACAGACATAGACTTCCGGGGAAGCCAGGTTCGGCCCCGGGCTTTGCCCGCCGTCACCGAGCGCCCGCAGGAATCCCCGAGGCTGCTCAGTGTTTCGACCTGTGGGACCAAAGAGTTTCTAGAGGGTTTAGGGTTTAGGGTTTAGGGTTTAGGGTTTAGGGTTTAGGGCCAGAGGGTTTCTATAGGGCCATAGGGTTTCTATAGGGTCTCTCAAGGGTTGCTATAGGGACTCCATAGGGTTTCTATGGGGGCCCTTTAGGGTTGGTATGGGGTCTGGTAGGGTTTCTCGTAGGGTTTCTATAGGGTCTATAGGTTTTCTATAGCGGCTCTACAGTGTTTTCAACGTTTAGGGTTCTGAGTTCAGAAAAAATAGGGCTGGTCTTCCTGTGTCGTGTGTTGCGTGGAATCGGGGGCTTGCCACCTAACCTTGTAGGGTTTTGGGTTTAGGGTTTAGGGTAGTCTGGGTTCAGAAGGGGTTAGGGTTTAGGGTTGCAATCACGAGTGCAGGGTATGGGGACAGCCAAGCCGGGCGGGAGCGTAGCCAAGCTCGTTGCAAAAAAAGGTTGCATGGACCCCTGTAAAGCTTCCGAGTGGTGTTGCAAAACCGGAGCCGACACCGGAAGGCCCAGCCCGCTGGCGCAAGGCTGCGACTGTCTTGAACCTTTTTGGGTTTTTGGAGTAGTATAATCCCCTTGTAGTCCCAAAGGTTAACCTTTAATCCCCCCAGGTTACTGGACAACTAAGTTACACCCTGAACTCTCAACCCCAAACCCTTAAACCCCAGCACTTCAGCCCCGAAATCCCACCGAAGCATCTGAGCCGCGAGGGGGCGGTCCCCTAGCCCGAAGAAACCCCTTGATCCCTTGGAGGGTATGTATAGGGTTTAGGGTTTAGGAGGGTTTAGGAGGGTTTAGGGTTTAGGGTGGGAAGTCGGTGGTTTCCGTTTGAGGGTGGCCTTGGAGAGCTCATAGATGTAGACCCCTCGGCTCCAAACGGCCAGGGTGAGTTGAACTGGAAGCCTCCCTTAGTCTTCCAGCACCCTGTCATTGAGAATTTGGGAACTAGGTATCCGTTACCCCGCTGCTTGTAGCCCTTTGCGTGATTTGTGTAAGGGCTTTAGGTTCTTAGGTTTGAGTTTGAACAGGCCTAGTTGCATTGCGAATTTGGGATGCCCCTCTTGGCATGGGCATGAAGCAATTCGGATCCCTGTTTGATGGCATTGTCCCAAGCTGCATGGAACGTGTGTGACGGCAGAGTGAGTGGACATTATGACACAAGTGTCCAGCCATGGAAACATGAAAGATGTAATGAGGTTGAGGCGAGTTTCACCATGCGATGTGCGACTTTTGTGGCCTTGTGACAAGGCTTGTTGAGGCTAGTCTGTCAGGAAGTCATTGGGGGGATGGGCCGTGGGTCGTACTTTTGGGGGGTTGCCTGCTTGTGAGCCTGGCAAACTGCCAGTCCACAGTGGCCTAGATGCGCTCTGACGATGGTTTGCCCTTTCTTTTGCCTGATGAGACCGGCGATGTGGTTGATGGGCTTAGAGGGGGGGGTGGGTCCTAGTTTAGGGTTTAGGGTTTAGGGTTTGTCGCAGTGCCTACACAGACCAACGAACCTTGCCGGCCTTGTGCGAGAGTGAGCTAAACCCTAAACTTTTTTTTTTGCCGACTCGCATTTCCGAAGTGTCGCAAAGCGAATCTCTGACGACCTTTCGCTTCCCACAAGGTATGTGGGGAGCCTTAAATCAGAACCCCAAACTCAATTCGAAACCTGAAGCTCGGCTCAGCCCTAAACCCCCAAACCAAACCTTACACCTATTCTGACCTTCTCACGCGACGCTAAACCCTAAACCCTAAACCATGGCAAGAGACGCTGGCACCTTTAAAAGGCTCTTCGAGCTCCTGGGCAGCTGCTGTGGCCGCTCTGGGTGCCACGGCAGTTGGGTGCTCGGACGGGTTTAGCGTTTAGGGTTTAGGATTGCCCAAAATTCCCATGTTCAGCGGCTTAATACAAATATCCTTCACGACACAGCGAATGAAGAACACGATAGGCCCCCCCCCCCCCCCTCTCTTGTTCAAGTGGGGGGGGGGGGGGGCCCCTCCTTGGTCAATTCCCCCTTTTATCAATTTTAGTAAGATTTCGATTTACTTTACTAGAAATTAACAAACACAAAATGTGGAATTTTACTTAACAGGGAGCAAGGGTTTCTGGCTTCTATTAGTGGCATTTCTATTTCTTTTAATGAAAAGTATTCTTCATAGGGTTTCACTTGATTTTAAGTAAAGTTTTAATAGGACTTCTTTTGATTCTAATCGGGTTAGAACTTTTGTTACTTTTGAAAGATTTCTAATAATATGAATTTATTCCTTCTAATAAGATTTGTATTGCGTTTAACGGGATTCGTATTAAAATAATAGAAATCCTTTTCGAATTAAGTTCAACTCCTATCAAAATTGATTGAACTGCTATTGAAATTAGTAGAAGTCCGATTCGACAAAATAATTCCCACCCCATTAAAATTGAATTGAAATGCTACGAAAAAAGAAGGCAAATAGAAATCTTGTTAAATTAATTGGGTTTGGGGGGGGGGCGGAGGGGGGGGAGGGCGGGGGGAGGGGGGGAGGGGGGAGGGGGGGGGGGGGGAGGGGGGGGGGGAGGGGGGGGGGGGGGGGGGGGGGGAGGGGGGGGGGGGAGGGGGGCGGGGAGGGGGAGGGGAGCGGGGGGGGGGGAGGGGGGGGGGAGGGGGGGGGGGGGGGGGGGGAGGGGGGGGGGAGGGGGGGGGGAGGGGGGGGGGGGGGGGGGGGGGGGGGGGGGGGAGGGGGGGGGGGAGGGGGGGGGGGAGGGGGGGGGGGGTACCTTGAATATCCGCGGGCCTCTTTTTTACGCACTCTCAAACACCCAAGAACCCAACATAGAAATCGTACCATCATGAGGCTTTCTACGTGACTGCAACTCTCTTGACAAGGAACCCGCCCTCGCTACCCCAACCGCCTGTCTAACCATCAATCTGAAACCTCCCTTAATATTAGATGGTGATTAAGTATTCTATTGATCAACCAAGAACAGGAAAGGCCCCACACAAAGAGCCATGGCCGTACGACAACGTCTTAGACTCCTTTTGAGTGCAAAAAAAGTCAGCGCAGAAGGCAGAGCAGAAAGCACGGTGTCGGTGTACATCATGGCGCTTGTGTTTCCAGGCTTCGCAAGCCCCTTCGCATGGTCAGCTCGTCATCTCACGCGTTTAGGGGGCAGAGTTTGGCGTTCTTGAATTGTCTTGCATGGCTCGGTCGTGCCCGAAGGCTGCTGTTTCTGCAAGAGTGCCTGCAGGATGTGCTGCATCTCGTCGCGAGAAGCTAAAGAAGTAAGTCGCTCAAGTTGTAGATATTGATGACTCTGAGCTAGAGATGAAGCCAGTGGACTTCGACCGGAGGCCCTTGCAAGGTTTTAACGTCGGTCGTTTGATCTTGAAATTTCATCTTTAGTGCCAGCTGCCAGCTGGGCGACCCCCGACAGAACGTTCGCAATCCTCACTGCGAACCGTGGTCATCAGCTACCGTCGTTCGGCGCGGCTATGAGCCGTGGGCTCTCATGCAGATCTGGCGTGGCTTGATTCGTTACAGGACCCTAAACCCTAAACCGTAAATCTATAGCATGTGCTGCTTGTGTTGGGTCGGGCAGCTTGGGTGCACGCGAATCATTTCATATTGCTCCCTGCTTCATCTCCTCCCCGCCAGGGGCCGGTCCTTCAGGCCCCGGGTTCTTTGCGCAGTCCCCCCTCTGCCCGCCCTAGGCTTCATGTTGGGCGCCGCCCTCAGAAGTAAGAGTCGGCACACTTCCGGCACCGTGTTGAGCCATGTCGCTCAAAGTTTCGGACCCAAGCTATAGCTGCCAGTAGGAATGACGGCGCGACGATGAAGACCAACAAGACCTGAGGAACTGAGTCAAAACCAATACATCGCAAACGCACTCGCGCTCGCAACCGATCCCGCAATTCGTTTTGCCCCGGATCTCTAATCGAGCCCCTTCCCGAAGGCTGGGTCCAGCCGGCGTCCAGAAGTCCAGTCGCGCATCCACAGCTTCGGCGCCCCCTGCATCCTTGGGGGGAGAGAGAGAGTAGGATCAAGGGTCTGGGGCTTCAGCAAGATGAGCCATGTCAACTTTGAGGAGTTGTCAAAATGGATGAGCCGTTCCTTCGGCAAAAAGGTTATCCAGCGAGTGGCCCTGAGATGTACGTAGCCGTGGTCTACAACGGCATTCTTGCTTGTGGGTTACAAAAGATGGAAGGAAGCAGTCGAAGGAGCTAAACCCTAAACCCTAAACCCTAAACCCTAAACCCTAAATTGTTGATGACCATGCGTTTGAATCAGCGTGTAGGGCGTAGGGCGGTTTACAGGCGGGCGCATGCGGAGCCAGTGAGTCTTTGCTTCAGTCCGAGTCGGAGCTTGCAGGCCACAGACAAAGAGGCCCCTAAACCCTAAACCCTAAACCCTAAACCTTAAACCCTAAAAGGGTTTAGGGTTTAGGGTTTAGGGTTTAGGGCTATGCAGCCAGGTCGCCTGGTCGTGAGAGCCAAGGCGGCGAAGGGCTTCGCCACTGCAGCCGGGGCCTTGAAAATCTTGCTTGAACCCCTCGTGGACCCTTCTCTCCACCCCCTGATAACAGGGTTTAGGGTTTAGGGTTTAGGGTTTAGGGTTTACCTATGGAGAAGGACCCCCGAAGATAGGTACCCGAATTCTGGGAGACCCCCAGATACTTCTTGTAGCGGTCGACGGATTAAGAGCCCTGGTTTAGGGTTTCGGGCTAGTGCTTAAGGCAAGAGGGCAGACGTAGTCTTCAAAACCACCCCCCGAACTACCGCTAAAAGACCCTTGCCGAGTCTGACAAACGCGGAGGCCGCATGAAAAGGCTGGTTTGGGATTCAGGGGTTGCATTTCAGATCAGAAACTCAGTCTCTGCAAGCCCTGAACCCTAAACCCTAAACCCTAAACCCTAAACCCTGAGCCTCAAAGATGAAGGCTGAAATTTGAAAACCCAAGGAGTGGATGGAAGACACTGCTGCCAGTGACGGCCAGGCGAGGACGTCAAGGGTTTCTGCAAGGGTTTAGGGTTTAGGGTTTAGGGTTTAGGGTTTAAAAGAGTTCAGGGATTGCGGGTTTAAGGTTTCGGGTTTAGGGGCTAGGGTTTAGGGTTGGTTTAGGGGCTAGGGTTTAGGGTTGCTTGCGTTGGGTTCAAGGTGATTTTGTGTTTCTCGAGCAGCGGGCATGGGGACGTTAGGGGTTGCGGCCCACTTGAGGGTTCCCATGGTTGACGCCCCCGGAGAGCAATGCATGCTGGGGCACCTTGCTTTCGCAATTTAGGGTTTAGGGTTAGGGTTTAGGCATCCGCAGTGCAGTCTCCCGACACTCACAAGGCTGAAGCACCCTTCTGTCAACCATGGAATTCAGACGCAAAAAACTCTCTCTGTAGTGGGCGGGCGTCGGGAGGCAACTAGGGTTAGGGTTTAGGGTTTAGGGGTAGGGTTTAGGGTTTAGGGTTTAGGATTTAGGGTTTAGGGTGAGTCCACAGGCCGAGGAGGAGTTCGGCCGGGAGGCCTCTGCCCCTTCGACCTCCAAGCGAAGCATCGTTCCAAAGAGTGCGCATCCCGGGCATTCTGCAGGGAACCCTACACCCTAAACCCTGAACATCCCTGAAGCCTAAACCCTAAACCCTAAACCCTAAATCCTAAACCCTAAACCCTAAACCGGGCCGGCTTTGTCAGCTTTACGTCTGAGTGGCCTTTTGGGTGCATCTGATTCAAGGTTCCGCCAGCTTAGCACGACGCAAGTCTCAAGGTGTTGGTGAAACCCAATAAGCCCCAGTTTAGGGTTTAGGGTTTGGGGTTTACGGTTTAGGGTTTAGGGATTCTAACATGTCTGCAAGAGACCTGCAGATAAGGCAGCTCCTCTTCGGCCATCAGGCTCTCAGATGGCAGGTGCCCTGAGGGTGGCCATGGATGGGGTTTAGGGTTTAGGGTTTGGGGTTTGGGGTTTGGGGTTTGGAGCTTGGGGTTTAGGGTTTAGGGTTTGGGGTTTAGGGTTTGGGGTTTAGGGTTTAGGGTTTCCAACGCCTTCCTGTAAGTTGCAGGTTCTTGTTTACGCCCGCTTACAAGACTGCATACAGACATGCAACACTTAAAGTTTGAAGTCGGCCTGGGGTGAGTCGTTCTGGGTTTTGAGTTCAGGGCCTCGTGGCTTATGAATTCATAAACCCGAAACCCTAAACCCTAAGGGCCGTACAAAGCACGGAAGATGCGCTCGCGGGCGGGGGAATGAGTCCACTTGGGTTTTGGGGCCACCTTGCATCCTTACACCCCAAGCCGTCCCAAAAGCCCTAAAACTCTGAACCATACTTTTTCGGGTTTAGGGTTTAGGGTTTAGGGTTTAGGGTTTAGGGCAAACTTTGGCGACCTGGCGACCTCAAATCACCTTCTTGTGCATGCTGCGCAGGCTCTCCGCACGCTAGAGTCTTGAAGCTCTCAGATGTGCGCCTTTCGGAACCCCCCAAAAGCCTTTCTGTGCTTTCGTAGGAGTTTAGGGTTTAGGGTTTAGGGTTTAGGGTTTAGGGTTTAGGGTTTAGGGTTTAGGGTTTAGGGTTTAGGGTTTAGGGTTTAGATTGATTGTGGCTCACAAAAGGGGGTGCCAGTTTCAAGCGGGGCTCCTCGAAAGAGGATGTGTCGTGTTTGGAGTTTGAGAAGCCTCATCTAGCACCACGGCTGCCACCGACACCCCCTATACACCCCTAAACCCCCAAAATAGGGTTTAGGGTTTAGGCCCCCTCTGAAGCCCCAAAAGCCCCCCAGAAGCCCTCCAGAAAAGCCCCCGTGCCCATAGGAGGCGCAGATTCGACCCTGGCGTCCTGCGCGACGCGAAAGGGGAGGTGATAGGAGGTGGCGAAGCCTGGCTGCACTGCGCTGACGTGCATAGGCTCTGAAGTCTGCAAGAGTTGTTAGTTCTCGGTAGTACTGTCTGGTAGCGCTCTTGGATGCTTTGGGGCTCATGTCACAGTCATAGACGGGGTTAAAAAGGGCCGGGGTATAGTAGCCAGCCCCAGAAAGGAGGCTGCCGGGCTACAGAATGCTTCTCTTAAGCATGGTCTGTGAGCAGAGAAGACTTTTAAAGTTCGGGCATAGGAATTGGGATGATGTTTTAGGGTTTAGGGTTTAGGGTTTTTGGTGGCTGTCGGGAGAAGGCTGCATGAGACCCACCCGGTGGGGGGGGCCCATCCCTGAGGGGTGGGGGCAAGGCCTGAAGTTCTTGCAGCCGCAGCTGTTGGCCCTTATCTTGCCTGACCTTCCCTCTGGTGAGCAGTTCTAGGTACTTCCAGGGGTTTTTGGACTCCAGAACCCGCGAGAGATGGCCGACATGTCCTGGGAGTTTGAAGCCCTGGCAGTGGTGCGCGATCCCGCATCTGGCATCCTGGAGGTCGCACTCAACCGACCCAAAGCGCTCAATGCCTTCAATCGGGCAACTAGGTCGGTTCATGGGATATCTTTGTATTTCCCCTTATAGTGGGCTTATGAGGATCAGATTGAAAGGAATATGTTTCAGAGGGTTCAGGGAACAAACCTAGGCTATGTGGCTGGACCTGCGACGATGTTTCTTGGACCGCTGTGCAGGTGACTAACTGCGTCAGCCCTACCAGACCCTCTAAATCAAGGTGTCTTCTTGTCTGACCCCCTACTTCCACCGTACTAGAACCAGTAACAGATGGGGGCGGGCGATAATCTCGGACACGGTTCATGGTCCAGCGACTCAAGTGACAGGCTCCCTTTTGCCCATAGACTCCGAGTTGAACCTTTGTAGTACTTGGGTAGTTTCCTAAACTTAGGGTCCCTTTTTGGGTAGCCGGCACCCTTCAAAAAGCAGATCCCCAAAAAGGGACCCGAACTTAGGGAACTATTGAACTATTGAACTACCCAACCCTAAACCCAAACCCCAAACCCTAAACCCTAAACCCTAAACCTTAAACCCTAAACCCTATACCCATTTACAAGGCTTAGACGCACTGAGGTTTTGAGATGGCATCCGAAGATCCGGAGACGCGTTGCGTACTGCTCCACGGTGGTGAGTCGCGCCTCTTCACCGCCGGGCTCGACCTGAAGAGCGAGATTCTTCCCCGTATTCGGCCTGCGAATCCTCATAGTCAACCCTATAGAGGGCCTTTTTGAAGGGTTTAGGGTTTAGTTTAGGGTTTAGGGTTTAGGGTTTAGGGGTTCTAGGGTAGAATAACCTGGGAAGTTTGGTCTAGCCAGTGGAGGGAGTGGCAGGGGAGGCGGAAGAGTTCTCAGAGCTTGGAACCCTTGCATCTCATCTGTAGCTCCTACTGGCTAAGGTCCCACAGCCTAGAAGATAGCCAAACAGCAGCCCTAACCCTAAACTCTACACTGTACACCACATAGCTGAAGAGCGGAATCCCAAGGATTGGTGGCTTCCCGACTGGTGACGCCAAGCTCGACGTGAGCCGCAAGGCCTTCCGAATGGAGCCCATCATCAAGCGATGCCAAGAAGCTTGGATCTCTTGTTTTGCGGTTTTAAGGAAAAGGCACGTTCAATGCCCGGATGCAGAATGTTTGTGCTTAGTAGGGCTTAGTAGGGGCACTTTCGGAAAGTAAAGCGGGTATGGACATTCGCCGGATCATTGCAAGACTTCCAAATCCGCACCGCACAAGACGCCGCAAGCTGTACTCGTACTGGAAACAGCATCTACATACCCCTAAACCCTAAACCCTAAACCCTAAACCCTATGTACACATGTATGTACACACATAACGTGCATGATGCCTACAAGGAGGGCATCTCCAGCATCGAGCGCTGTCGGAAGCCCGTGGTCGTGGCGCTTCACAACGGCATCGTGGGAGCCGGGGTAGATCCTTGGGGACGACATGAACCCTGAGATTGGGGGGTCAAAGGGTTTAGGGTTTAGGGTTTAGGGTTTGGGATTTAATTAGGGTTTAGGGTTTAGGGCAGTTTAGGGTTTAGGGTTTAGGTTCTATTCTACTATACTTCCTATGAAGGTATATGAGCCATAAACCCTTTTCGGGTTCATTTGGTCCCCAAGGACTTGGCCAGCGCCTGCGACATCCGCTACTGCACTGAGGACGCTTGGTTCTCTATCGCAGAGGTCGGGGCATCCCAAATAGTGCGGAAGTTTTCCCTACCGAAGATCCCCAGCCCCCCGAGTCGAGGATGCTTGCTTCCAGAAGACATCCAGCTTAGAACCTAGAATTGATGAACCAGCCCTAAACCCTATACCCTAAAGCATCAAGTGAGCGCCCAGTTCCCCCAAACGGCGCCAGGTCAATGTTGGCTTGGCAGCTGATGTGGGCACCCTTCAGCGATTGCCCCCACAAGCGGTGTTTGGAAACATTTTCTGTGCACCGCACAGGTCCCGAATCCTAAAACCGTCGCCCTAAATCCGAAAGGCCTCAACCCCAAACCCCTGTAGGTTCGCAACCCTGTGAACTTGAATACCGTTGTGCACTTCGAGTATGAGCTTAAGGGCATCTTCACCGGAATGTTAAACCCCAAACCCTCAACTCTAAACCCCCAAACCCCAAACCCCAAACCCCAAACCCAAACCCTAAACCCTAAACCCCAAACCCCAAACCCCAAACCCCAAACCCTAAACCCTAAACCCGTTTGAGGCCCAAGATCGTCGGCAATGACTCCGTGGTTCGAGAGCTTGCATTCACGGGGCGGCGTTTGGCCGCAGCGGATGCTCGGACCTGCTCGAACCTGCTCGGACCTTTCATAGGGTTTAGGGTTTTGGGTTTAGGGTTTAGGGTTTAGGGTTGAAGGTTTCAAAATCCAGTTTGTGGAAAAGTGGGGCCCCGCAGCGTGCCTTTCTGTAGGGTTTAGGGCTACAGTTTTCTGGGTCATACCTATTAAGCGGATGGGCGTAGTCTTCAGGGTTTCCTCATCTGAGGGGGCGTCTGAGTTCATTGCATCGGCTAGAGTTTAGGGTTTAGGGTTTGGGGTTTACGGTTTAGGGTTTAGGGTTTAGGGACGTTGGAAACCCGGCAGAGCTCGCGGGGTCAAAAGGGTTTAGGGTTAGCATGCCCACGCTTGTTTTAGATACTTCGCTGGCAGGGATGGGGTCGTGAGGCATCTGCACCTCGCAACCCCGCCTCCTGTGGGAGTACGGGCGTTCTATCCTCCGAAACCCTAAACCCTAAACCCCAAACCGCAAACCCTGAACCCTAAACCCTAAACCCTACGCTTAGAGACTCCCTTGGGGCCAAGGAGGCAAAAGAGTTGGGCCTTGTCGGCAAGGTTCTGCCCTCACGCGAGGCGTGCGAGGGGCTTTCTGCAGGGCTGTTGGAACTTTAGGGTTTAGGGGTTCGGGGTTTAGGGTTTAGGGTTTAGGGTAGGAGTTTGCACACCCTAAACCCCTATGCAAAGGCGTGTGAGCCCATTTTGAGTGCAGCGGTCGGAATGTGTGGTAAGACGAGGGAAAAGGGCTTGATTCTTCAATGGTGCCGTTATGAGACAGCCCACCCCAAACCCTAAACCCTAACAGGTGTGCCTGGCCGAAGCCCGGAAGATTGCGCAGGAGATTGCCTCAAAGTCCCCGGTGGCCGTGGTGGGCACAAAGGTGATGCTTGGATCGTTTTGGAAGTTTTGAAGCGAATTCTTGGGTTCAGTGTTTAAGAGTTTGCAGGGTTTATAGGGTTTGTAAGGCTTACAGGGTTCACAGGCTTTATAGGGTCTGTAGAGTTTAAAGGGTTTATAGGGTTTATAGGGTTTATAGGGTTTATAGGGTTTGTAGGGTTCATAGGCTTCATAGGGCTCATAGTGTTTCTAGGGCGTAGGGTTGACATGCCCCGCGAGTAGCTCAGCCACCTGCTGGCTAGTCCAGAAGTCCAGTGAATCTGCTTCAGCGGAAGAACCCACATCCAAAGCCTGAAAGCCCTAGAAGCCTCACCAGCCGTGCGCGAGTCGAAGCCCGAAACCTACCCCTAAACCCCAAACCCTAAACCCCAAACCCCAAACCCCAAACCCCAAACCCTAACCCCTAAGCCCTAACCCTAAACCCTAAACCCGAATCAAACAGCTTAAGGAGCTTGAACTACAGCAGGGACCACTCGGTCCAAGAAGGCTTGGACCAGATCCTGCAGTGGAACTCCATCCATCTCATGTCCGAAGACCTCATGAAGGCTGCCCAAGCCTCGCTGATGAAGACCAAGGCCGAGTTCTCCAAGCTGTAGCTGAGGTAACTTAGTTTTGGGTTTAGGGTTTAGGGTTTAGGGCTAAGGGCTTAGGGCTTAGAGTGGCGGATCTCGAGAGCGTTTCAAGGAAGCAAGCCCCTTTGGAGTGCTTGCTGGGACCGCGCTGCTCACAGAAAAAGCTTGCGCAACCGAAAGGCGAAAGCCCCGGGTGAGAAGCCTCCCCCCTCAGCTAAACAAAGTACAACACAGACCCAAAGAAGAGCCCTGCGAAGGAGAACCTTCCAAACGGAGAACAGGAGCCTTCTTTGTTTTCAGATGTGATGACTGTTCTTCAATGTTTCTGCATTCTTCCTAATCGGATAGTTTGCTTCCCTAAGCCAGAAGTCTGCCTTGAAAAGCTCTGCCGAGGATGCTCCGGAGCCCGAAGGCGCCAAGGAGCTCTACCAGTGGATGGAGGCCAAGGGCTGTACAGGCCAGGGGGCATGGCCCTGACCCTGTGAGCCCTGAACTCCCTCATTGTTCTTCATATAGAGAGAGAGAGAGAGAGACAGCTCATGTACAGGTTTAGGGCAGCGACCGCGGTGAGGTTGAGAAAGTTGAGGGTTAATTTAGCGTAGAGGGGCAACGTTTCCAGTAGTCAAGAGGACACCGATGCGTAAAACTAGGAGGAGGGTGTCTGGGCGGCTGTCCTCGTAGCGATCCTATGAACCCCAAAAAAAACAAAACTCCGGCGGACACAGGTCCAATTCGCGGTCTTCAGAGTTGCAGTAGCTCTGGGGCAAGGAACCACCACACCAAGCCCAAAAGCCCTAGGCCTAAACGTCGCGGGATTGAAGCTTTCTGTTAAATTCCCAGCCCCCCTACCCTACATCCGAAGCCCCAACTTCCCTGAGCCCTAATCCGAAGCCCCAACTTCCCTGAGCCCTAAGCCCCGCGGCCTGCGCAGGCCTGGATGACGTGCAGCTCCTCCTCGGCGGTGGGGTGGCCCTGCGCAGGCTCTGGGATTCTTCAATTCATTGTATAGGGATTAGAAGAAATGAAGTCCGCATAGATGAGTGTACCCAATAGGGCAAGCCGCCGTACGTCTTCAAGCCTGGTGCAGGCGCGCATTCTATCTCAACCCCCCCCCCCTCCCTCGCGCATGGCAGGAAAAGCCAATGTGGAAGTGCCAAGCAGGATCAGGCCGGGTTCGACGAGACTGCGCATCTTCGGGGCTGGTTGAGCAGCGAGCTGTAAAGCTCAAGGGGACAGGGTTTTGGCGCTACATAGGATGCAATGCATATATATATATATATGGTACCCCCCCCCCCCCCCAAAGATCTAGGTATTTTCGTGGTTTTGGGATCTGTTTTAGGGTTTTAGGGTTGGGGGTGGGGGGCTAGCTAAACATGTAAATCTCAATATGGACATGTAAATCTTGATATGTGCGAGTCTTCATATGTGCGTGGTCGTATTTTCAAATTGTGAGCTCGATTGAAAAAATCGGGGGCCCGATTGAAAAACGATTGAAACGATTGAAATTCAATCGGAGACCGGATTGAAGATTGAAGATTGAAGATTCCCGGAAAGCTTTTTTTGGGGAATCTTCAATCTTCAATCTTCAATCCGGCCCCCGATTGAATTTCAATCGTTTCAATCGTTTTTCAATCGGGCCCCGATTGAATTTCAATCGTTTCAATCGTTTTTCAATCGGGTTCACGTCTTGTAAAGTCTCAGTTTTAGCTTTCGTGACGTCGCTATAAAGTCCCAGAAGAAAATTGCGTGACGTCGCTCAAGGTCATGTGTCACAAGCCCATAGATTTCGGGATCGTGGGCTAAACCTTTAAGATTCAATCGGGGGCCCGATTGAAAAACGATTGAAACGATTGAAATTCAATCGGAGACCGGATTGAAGATTGAAGATTGAAGATTTCCGGAAAGCTTTTTTCTGGGAATCTTCAATCTTCAATCTTCAATCTTCAATCCGGCCCCCGATTGAACTTCAATCGTTTCAATCGTTTTTCAATCGGGCCCCCGATTGAATTTCAATCGTTTCAATCGTTTTTCAATCGGGTTCACGTCTTGTAAAGTCTCAGTTTTAGCTTTCGTGACGTCGCTATAAAGTCTCAGAAGTAAATTTCGTGACGTCGCTCAAGGTCATGTGTCACAAGCCCATAGATTTCGGGATCGTGGGCTAAACCTTTAAGCCCTGTAGGCTATACGGTTAAGGTTTAAAGGTTTAGGGTTGAAATGTTCAACAGTAAGCCCATAGAGTTTAAACCTTAAGGGTCCTAAACGCTTAACCTTTGAACCTTAACCCTATAGCATATAGGGCTTACAGGTTAAGTGTTTAGGCACGGTTAAGGTTTAGAGGTTTAGGGTTGAAAAGTTCAACAGTAAGCCCATAGAGTTTAAACCTTAAGGGTCCTAAACGCTCAACCTTTAAACCCTATAGGCCATAGGGTTAAGGTTGAAAGGCTTAGGGTTTAAGATTTGGCATTAAAACACAAGCCCATAGAGCTTAAACCTTAAGGGTTTAAGGTTTAAGCATGTAAACGAGAACCCTAAGCCCTTTAGGGTCAGAACCCTGAAGCCCTGTAGGGCTCTAAAACGTTAAAAGGGTTTAACCCTATAGGCGTTGAAAGTATAAATGCCCAGACATTACGCTCTCTTTAACCTTTCAGCCCTATAGGGTCTAAAGGCTTAGGCTATTTCTTAAGCCTTGAGGGTTTAAAACCTTAAACCCTTAAGGTGGGCTTGGGTTTAAATGCCTAAATCTTGAATCCGAAAGCTTTAAACCTTCCCTATAGCCTATAGGGTTTAAAGGTTAAGCGTTTAGGCCCCTTGGGGTCTGAACTCTATGGGCTTACCTTTAAAACCTAAACCCTCAAACCTTAACCCTATAGCCTATAGGGTTTAAAGGTGAAGCGTTTAGGCCCCTTAAGGCTTAAACTCTATGGGCTTACTATTGAACTTTTAAACCCTAATCCTTTAAACCTTAACCCTATAGCCTATAGGGCTTAAAGGTTAAGTGTTTAGGCCCGTTAAGATTTACACTCGATGGGCTTAGGTTTAAATGCCTAAATCTTAAGGCCTAAACCTTTTAAGCCTCAACCCAAAAGGGTTTTACGGTTAAGGGTTCAGGTTTAAATGGCGGTTGAGGTTTAGATGCCTAAATGTTAAACCCTAAGCCTTTCAACCTTACACCCAAGAGGGTTTAAAGTTCAAATGTTTCGGTCGAATTGACGGCTTAGGTTTAAATGCCTATATAAACCTTAAACCCTAAACCTTTAAGACACATAAATCTTGGAATAGGGTCTGACCCTACTTCTTGATCCAATTAATCTGAACCTTAATCGAGTAGGGTTTATTGAGCTGTTTACTTGTAAGTGAGGATAGTGTATAAATGAGTCTTATCTTTGAGAAATGATAACTCTTTTTGGGGGTCCTTTGGGAATGATGAGATGAACACCCACATACTTGAGAGTAAGTCGGGCTTTTGGAAGGTCCAGAACCCGTAACATAGTGAAAGGAGATTTGCTCACAGTATTCTCGCGTCTTCAGGAATACAGTGTTTCTCCACATCACCTTATGCACTTGAATACTTCCTGGGCTTATGGTATCTTGCTTATCTTTCCAATCGACGTCCTATACTCATCTGCACCTATCCGGGCCCATGCAAAAAGGTTAAGTGTTTAGGCCCGTTAAGATTTACACTCGATGGGCTTAGGTTTAAATGCCTAAATCTTAAGGCCTAAACCTTTTAAGCCTCAACCCAAAAGGGTTTTACGGTTAAGGGTTCAGGTTTAAATGGCGGTTGAGGTTTAGATGCCTAAATGTTAAACCCTAAGCCTTTCAACCTTACACCCAAGAGGGTTTAAAGTTCAAATGTTTCGGTCGAATTGACGGCTTAGGTTTAAATGCCTATATAAACCTTAAACCCTAAACCTTTAAGACACATAAATCTTGGAATAGGGTCTGACCCTACTTCTTGATCGAATTAATCTGAACCTTAATCGAGTAGGGTTTATTGAGCTGTTTACTTGTAAGTGAGGATAGTGTATAAATGAGTCTTATCTTTGAGAAATGATAACTCTTTTTGGGGGTCCTTTGGGAATGATGAGATGAACACCCACATACTTGAGAGTAAGTCGGGCTTTTGGAAGGTCCAGAACCCGTAACATAGTGAAAGGAGATTTGCTCACAGTATTCTCGCGTCTTCAGGAATACAGTGTTTCTCCACATCACCTTATGCACTTGAATACTTCCTGGGCTTATGGTATCTTGCTTATCTTTCCAATCGACGTCCTATACTCATCTGCACCTATCCGGGCCCATGCAAATCTTCAACTTCACATTGCCTCCGGGCCCACGCAAATCTTCAACCTGACATCGCCAAATCATGAAAATACCTAGATCTTTGGGGGGGGGGTAGCATATATATATATATATATATACATTTACATATATAATATAATATGTATAGATATATATATATGCTACCCCCCCCCCAAAGATCTAGGTATTTTCGTGATTTAGCTATATCAAGTTGAAGATTTGCATGGGTCCGGATGCGATGCGAAGTTGAAGATTTGCATGGGCCTGGATAGGTGCAGATGAGTAGGGGATGTCTGTGGGAAAGATAAGCAAGATACCAGACGCCTTGGAAGTATTCAAGTGCATAAGGTGATGTGGACAAAACAGTGTATTCTCCAAGGACGCGAGAATACTGCGAGCAAATATCCTTTCATTCCTGGGACCTTCCAACATGCTGCTATTAGTTGGTCATTGAAGATTTGCATAGGCTCAGAGAGATGAAGACGAGTAGAGGACGTGTGTTGAAACGCTAGGCAAGCTCAAGCGACAGTTTCATTTTCCGACGGCTTTACCGTGCTACCCCATTGGAGTTGATGAGACACTGTGGCCTCTCAGGCACTACGAGCAAACATAGTACAGGGATCTTCACTTCTGGGCGATGATGTTGCTCATGTACCGCCGCATGAGGCTGCCCGTCTCCAGCCACATGTCCTTGCCCCTGTTCCAGTACTCATACTGGGCAGAACGGATTTGAGCAATGATCCGCAAGGAACCAGTTTTGGCGCGTTGGTTCACGCGGAGGCGCTCCTTGACGAATCTCCACCCGCGATCGACGATCTGGGTTCCGATCTTCACGGTGACTTTGCGGCCGCCGGGCAAGGTCACTTTCTTGATCTTGACGTAGGTTGGCTGTTGCCAAACCCATTTCTTGCCCACTTGGACACGGCGCTTCTTGTGCACGACAGATCCGTGAACAACGCCTGGGATTTTGAGTTTGTAAGCTCGAGCGCTGTCGGAATGGAGAATCACGTGCTTACCCTTCAGCCAGCGATCGGATATCTTCTTCCAGTCGTCTCGGCGGATGGGGCCTGGACCTGGCGACCTTTTCTTCGTGGGCCTTGGTGTTGTATGAGACACGCAACTACTTTCCCTTGTACCGGTACATTCTGTACGTATAGTGCAGACGAGAGACGGGGGAGTCAATCGCAAAAGGACGAGCGACTCGGGCTTGCCGCGCTGAACCATGCCTACCCATTGCTCCCAGTCCATGACCTTGGTGGGATCATCAGCCTCCTCAATCGGAATGAGCTTTTTGTCGAAGACGGATTCGTCAACTTCGACATCTTGCCACTTGTTCCCTTTACCCCCGAAGCTCATGGTCCTTTGGGTCTCTTCCACAAACTTCTTGCGAACAAGTGTGAGGTTATGCTCCATCCGTTCGATAGCCTTGTGATTGATCTGGGTCACCACGTGGATAGTGCTCAGAGGCACATTGGCAAGGCGCAAGAGCAGCATCCCTGCCTGCACGCCAAGGGAATGTCCTTCAGGTCCGCGGGTCGCTGTAAAGAGTGGGTGTAGGTGCTGAGGCGTGATGAACTTTTGACAGCCCCAGCGCTTGCACCGATAACGAGGTAGTCCCCCAGACCTCTTTGTCAGAGGTCCGACTTTGCCTTGCGAGCAGAACGGACAAACCGCACCCTCCCATGTTGGCATGAGGCCATCGTCCTTCAGGACCTGGATGGCATCGTACTCATTCAAGGAGGACAAGTACTGGAAAGTACGTTTCCACTTCAGACGATCTACACGAGGAGCCTTGTTGCCTGTGCGGTTGTACGGCGTTTGTTTCCAAGCCTTGCCTTGCGCACGCTTGGAGGATGCTGCCTTGGTGAGGTTCCCCTTCATGAGCATGCGTGTTTTTCCTTTCTTTGCGATGGGAAAGTGATAGGCCGGCTTCTTGCACAAGTACTTGCCCATGATGCTGAAGCGGAGAGATGCTATGGCAAAAGGACTCGACTAGTAAAACTCATATCTCAGGGCGGAGCCAATAGTGAGCAAAGTGGATATGATTGCATTGCGTGTGTGGCCTGAAACAACGGATGATTGCATTGCGTGTGCGGCGTGAAACAACGGGCAAAGCAAAGCAGTGGAGCCCATAGCAAGCTTTTATCTGCACAACGCGCAGAAGACGACTCTGGTGGACCTGGAGCTAGCTAGGTTTTTGTGGGGCAATCCCGCACATATCCTGTACCGAAAATGCAGAGGGACTCAGTCCAAAGTTCTGGCACTGTCGGAGTTCATGGCCGAGAACCAAAATGACAGGCCACTTGGACCCTGCCCTGTGCATCCAAGAGCTCACCCATGGAGATGCTGGGCCGCCTCCTCCTCGGCGCTATCGCTACCCTGATCCAAGTCCATAGCCTCGCCCGGAGAACTGAGGATGTTCTGCTCCTGGTTATTCGCAGACTCCGAATCCCCCCCGTTCGCAACGAGAGTGTCTTCTTCGTCTGGGTTCTTGGTCTGGTTTTCGCCTGCCTCCGCCACGGAAGTCTTGCATCGGAGTCGGCGGCGCTTGTCATCGTTGTAGACGAAAGAGGAAGAGCTGTTCAGGCGACCTGGCTTGGGACCAGTTCCAACGACCGGGAAGACGGGCGCGAGGCCAAAGGCGGAACGAGATGTGTCAGCCTCATTGGAAGACCCAGGCGAAGAAGGAATCACTCTGACTTTGGGCTCTGGCGTTAACCATTTCTGGATGGCATGGTTGGCATGGTTCACATAGTCGTCCCTCGAGGGGAAGTGTTGGGTCTCTGCCACAGAGGAGTCAATCATTTCTTGTTCACGACGAACATCGTCAGCAAAGGAGTCTCCAAGGGCGATCACTCCGCTCTTGTACTTGCCATAGAATGGTTTGTCGCGAGGGGCGAGAAGGTCCAAGTGGAGGTCGTCGGCCACAATGCGGTGCACTATGGCGTCGGGCTTCTCACTCGGTAAGCGGAGGAACAGAGCTGTTTCTGTGAAGACGAAGGTCGTTGAACGCTTCAATACCGCCATAATGTCCTTCTCAGCGTCGCCCCGGAAGAGAGGTTCCACAAGCTTCATGAAGTCCTTCGGAGGGAGGAGGGTGGCGTCCGGAGTCTGCAACGCCGGATCTGTACTCGTGTTGTTGGAGGCAAGGGCTCGCATTTGGTTCATGGTGAGGCGAGTGTCGTTGTAACGACTATCGACGGTGCCGTCCTCGTCCACCGTGACGAAGCTCTTCAAATCAGCCATATCAATCTTGCCTCGAGACGGATCATCCAAGAACAGGGCTTCCTGGATTTGTGGGGCTCTATGCCGAAAGTTGTCAAATGACTTCGCACGTCTCCAACCAGGTTGAAGCCCCTGCAGGCCCTGCAGGCCAAGACGCCTTATGTGGAAGCGACCCATTGCCATGGCCATCGCGATCAAAGCTGGTGTCTTGCCGACACCAGCACAGCCCAGGAACATGACGGCTGTCGTCATGAGAAGTGGGTAGAGGTAAGGAAGAATGTTGGTGGACATGGCGGCGTGGAGGCTATATGTTGTGAGAGGGAACTCCGTCTTCGGAAGAGCGCCGCCCAATCCCCGACTTTTGTTCTGCGCCATGAAGCGGACCTTGGTTTCGGGCCACCCAGCGATTGGGGTCCCCGAGTCTTCCTTGATGTTGCAGAGGATCCAGAATGTTTGTTCATTGGCTGCGTCACAAACTGGAGCTTGCTTGTTGATGAAGGCAATGCCGGCAGACAGCTCGTCATTTTCTGGGTTCCAAGAGCTTTGTGTCTGCGACCTTTTCAAGGACGGCCTGGGTGGATCAAGTGAGTGCCAACGGACGTGAAAGCCAGGGATCTGGTTCATGAGCCACTGAATGCCTTTCTTTACAGCCCAGGGTCCTTGCCGAAACTGAGGCGCAAAGCTCCGACCTTTACACAAGCCCTCAGCCACTTGCCTGGAGACTGATTGCTTGAAGTACAGAACCTTCATGACGTCAACCAGGCCATCCCCAAGGTTGCAGACAACAATATCCACATTGGTCTCAGCTGGCAACGGGCCCATGAATCGCAATTCTTCTGGCAGATCTGAGAACTTCTTCTGAGCCACTAGATCTCCAAGACTGAGAGAGCTGCCACACTCAAGCATGCCGAGGTGAACGTCGAAGACAACCGCTACACTCTTGATGCCATTCAACGGGCGACACGCTCCGTCAAGAAAGTCCTTGATGGATAAAGGCTGCTCTGGGTCGATGCGAGAGCAGTTCGCACTGCAAAGAGGCCGAAGAGTGAAGTTTTGCGAGTTGACTTCGCTGATGGCATCGTCCAAGAGTTGGGCGGACATGACAATGAGAACCTAGACGACTATGGCTCGTGGGCAACAGGGAGAGAGGACGGCAAGTATGCTTGAGCGCTAATGCGAGTGCAAAGGATGAGGATGAAGGCTGTGCGTTGATATGGTTAACGGTGAGATGTCAGCATACAAGATAGAAAGACATACACATGTGCATATATGTAAATTATGCATGTACATATATATGCATACATGTGATAGCATATATTTAGGGTATGTAACACGTGGTGTATATTATGTATTTATATAATATTAAATAATATTAAACTCATCTATATGTCTACATATAGAGGCATATATGCTACACCACCCATAAGAATGCACGCATAAGATAACTATTTAACTGCCAGCGACTGACTATTTGTTTCGTGTTAACTTGAAGACACCTAGCCAGAGCGAGCACAATCAGTGCAGGGCATTCGCTTCGCACGTTTTTCACAGCGCTCCGACGGTGACAGCGCAGTCAGTATATGGAAGATGCGACACCGGCCGAGTAGGATATAGTCCCTTTAGTTGCTGTCAAACACGCCCTTGGCTTTCACGATGGCGTGTAAGACTTTCGCACTTGCATTCTTCTTCTTCTTATTATCCCCGGAGATAATGAACAAGTCCATCGCAGATGTGTAGGCATCGGCGAAGTCGCTGGTCCACTTCATTGTGTTGACGTCAGGAGGAGCAAGGGAAATGCTTGACCTGGAGGAACTGCTGGATGAAGAGTCTGAGTCGTTGCCATCATTGCTGTGGCTCGTGGCGTTGTCTTCGGCGGAAGGCGTGTTGTCGGCAGTAGCGAGATCATCTACGGCAGCCTCCGAGCGCACAATGTGAGTAGTGCCGGTGGGTTCACTCTGGACGGCCGCGGAATCCGTAGGGGCGTCTTCAATGGCATTGACCGATGGGGTATTTTCCGGATGCTCACTGTTCATGTTGCCGGTGGGTTTGTCCTGGATGGCCTTGGGGCTCGCAGGGGCGTCTTCAATGGCATTGATCGCTGCGGCCTTGCGTTTTTGGCTACGTTTCGGCTTCAGCAATACGTCTAGGAGCCTTTGGTCGGCCCTCGGCGACCAATCACCCTGCACTCCGACGGTAAGGCCAAGCGCCGTCTGAATATTATTCAGCATGACGCGCAAGTCCGTGGGGTTCATCGGAAGCCGAGTATGGTGAACTATTGCTGCGCCGCTGTTGATGGCCTCGAGGATTTGCTGGTCTGAGCGCTGTGTGGATATCGGCCATGGAGGATTTGGAGTAGAAGAGGATGAGCCCGCGCCAGAGTCTGGGAAGTTGGACGTGGCCATGTTCCCTGATTTCGGAGAGATCCTCAGGTAGGCGGAGCCATCCTTGAACAAGACCGAGCCAGCCACTGGGATGCGAGCCATTGCGAGTATTACAAACACAAATGGCCAAGTATATTTTGAGTGGAATGTCTGCGAAGACACGTGATCTTGAGCGACGTCACGAAAGCTGATTCTGAGACTTTACAAGACGTGAACCCGATTGAAAAACGATTGAAACGATTGAAAGTCAATCGGGGGCCCGATTGAAAAACGATTGAAACGATTGAAATTCAATCGGGGGCCCGATTGAAAAACGATTGAAACGATTGAAATTCAATCGGGGGCCGGATTGAAGATTGAAGATTGAAGATTCCCAGAAAAAGGTTTCCGGGAATCTTCAATCTTCAATCTTCAATCCGGTCTCCGATTGAATTTCAATCGTTTCAATCGTTTTTCAATCGGGGGCCCGATTGAAAAACGATTGAAACGATTGAAATTCAATCGGGGGCAGGATTGAAGATTGAAGATTGAAGATTCCCAGAAAAAAGGTTTCCGGGAATCTTCAATCTTCAATCTTCAATCCGGTCTCCGATTGAATTTCAATCGTTTCAATCGTTTTTCAATCGGGGGCCCGATTGAAAAACGATTGAAACGATTGAAATTCAATCGGGGGCAGGATTGAAGATTGAAGATTGAAGATTCCCAGAAAAAAGGTTTCCGGGAATCTTCAATCTTCAATCTTCAATCCGGTCTCCGATTGAATTTCAATCGTTTCAATCGTTTTTCAATCGGGCTCACAATTTGAAAAGACGACCACGCACATATGAAGACTCGCACATATCAAGATTCACATGTCCATATTGAGTTTTACATGTTTAGCTATCCCCCCACCCCCAACCCTTAAACCCTAAAACAGATCCCAAAACCATGAAAATACCTAGATCTTTGGGGGGGGGGGGTACCATATATATATATATATATACGTAGAGGTCGCTCGTGTCTGCTGTCCGTTGGTTGCCATGGCTTTGACGGCTGCGCCGTGATGTTGATCTAGACCTGCTTCTTGACTGCGCGAGTCTGGTGGTATCCCGGCTGTGAAAATCCTCAAGCAGGTGCCCCTCAACTCCTTCCCCAAGCCTTGAGAATGAGAAAACTCATCTAGCCAAAGTAAATAGCAAATCTATCAATCCCCTTATAACCCCCTCCATGTCCGCAAAGACATGTAAACGACCGAAAATGCCCTCCTTCAACAGGCCCTATATCTTGAACCTTATAAGCCCAAAACCCTAGCCTCAAGCTACTAAGGCTTCGTGGAGCCCTAAACCCTAAACCCTAAACCCTAAACCC